CTTGCAAACCCCCCCACCCAAAAATTATTTTTATTTTTATTTTTTTTTGCTTGAGGGGGTGGGGCTGGGGTTGCGCCACCCCATGGCACTTCCCCAATCCCCAACCCCCCTCCCCACCGGCCGCCATGCGTCCGCGAAGTCGCGCATCCGCAGGGTCGCGGACTCGGGCGCGATTGTCCGCCGCGGAGGGGGATTCGTAGGCGGGGGAAGCAACAGAGGGAAGAGCAACGGGGAAGGGCGGGAAAGAGAGTCGAGCGGTGGTGGGCAGAGGGCAGCGGAGATGAGCGGAGGTGGGCGGAGGTGGAGCGTGGAGGTGGGCGAAGTCAGGCGGAGGTGATCGGAGCGAAGATGGCCGGAGCGGAGGTGAGCGGGAGTAGATCAGGTGGCCGCGTGGACCGCAGATGGGCCGAGGTGGGCAGAGGTGGGCGGAGGTGGGCGGAGGTGGGCGAAGGTGGGCGGAGGTGGGCGGAGGTGGGCGGAGGTGGGCGAAGGTGGGCGAAGGTGGGCGAAGGTGGGTGGAGGCGGGCGGAGGGCATCGGGATCGGGATAGGGAAGCGGAAACGGAGGTGGTGAACTAGCCATGCGGCGAACTTGCCACGTGACAAACTTGCCATGTGGCGATCTTGGCACGTGGGAGGTGGAGGTGGCTGGAGGTCAGCGGAGCGGACGTAGTGGGAGGGGTGAGCGCCGGAGGTGGGCGAAAAACCCCTCGTCCTTTTTCTTTTTTTCTTTTGATGTTTTTATTTTTTTCCAATCAATCAATCAATCAATCAATCAATCAATCAATCTATCAATCAATCAATCGATCAATCAATCAATCGATCAATCAATCAATCGATCAATCAATCGAAATTGATTGATTGATTGATTGATTGATTGATTGATTGATTGATTGATTGATTGATTAATTGATTGACTCATTGATTGATTGCAGGGAAGGCGGAGGTGCAAAGGTGGGCAGAGGTGCGGGGGATGGCGGAAGTGCGGGGTAAGCCGCAAGAGCGAGGGACGCAGCGGAGGGACCGGAGGGAGGAGCAACCAATCAATCAGTCAATCAATCAATCAATCAACAAATTGGAAGTGGGGGGAAAGCGCAAGCAAGGGCGGAAGCCGGGGGAAGCGGAAGCGGGGGGAAGAAGAGGCGGAAGTGAAGAGCGGAAGCGGAAGCGGGGAGAAGCGGGGCCCGAAGCGGGGAGCAGGGGAGCCCGAAGCGGAAGCGGAGAGAAGCGGGGAGAAGCGGGGAGAAGCGGAAGTGGGGAGAAGCGGAGCCCAAAGCGCAAGTGGGAAGAAGCGGAAGTGGGGAGAAGCGGAAGGGGGTCCAATCAATCAATCAATCAATCAATCAATCAATCAATCAAGTAATCAACCAATCAATCAATCAATCAAGTTGGTTTCTTGATTGGGCCGATCCTCTCTTTGAGAGGGACGCTCCGATACCAAACAGTCGCATACCGAGATGGTGCAGACCAGAACCAAGAACCGACCTATCATCGATAGAGCCAAATAGGACAGCCGAAGACTAAAATACAAATGATCAAACCGATGGCTCAATGTCACAAATTGAATGCAGACTGCACACGCATCATCATCATCATCATCATAGCTTGTGAATGGCCTGGCGCTCAAGAAGTAAACGATGAAGAACAAAAAGAAGAAGAAGAAGAAGAAGAAGAAGAAGAGGAGGAAAAAGAA